GGCCACCCTTTCCTCTTAGACACATTAGGTACGTGCCCAAGCGTAAGGGATTTGTGGCCGCAAAAATTAGGAGGGCGAAAAACGAGAAAAAATTAAAATCGCATTGAACGTACCACACCTAGTGAGTCATGAGTGAAGCATTTCTGCCCTTTCGAGAGTAAAGATTGAAATGAGATCTATTATGGAAAATGAAAACCTTAACAATTTGATGTTGCCATGCGCTCAAAATGATATTACCATGGAATTTTTTTACAATTATGCTATTAATGATTTTGCAATGAACAAAGCTAAAAAAAAATCCCTTTGTTGTACCAGTACAACGACAGTGACTCAACAACGAATAAGGACGTCTAAAAGTAAAAGATAGTAAAGCGATAAGCGGTGAAAAAGATGATAATTAACCAGTTGACTGCAGTTCATTCAATAATGTACACCAATGGCGTAAGGTGCACCCCGGCAATTCTCATATCGCGAGGGAAGGATTCTAGGTGGCCAAAGGCTATGGGTGGTTTGGTTTATGCAACCCTTTGTAAGATCCGACTGGGAACCCAAAACCTGACTTTGAGAAGCCCTATGCGTCACTATATTGTAATTGCAAACCATTTCATTAATTTACTGTACTAATTTATATAAGGGTGGATGGACGGTTGGTCGATGATGCTGTAAAGTAAGAAATGTACTAGAGTGGCCAAACCCAGCCACTATCCTTTTCTTACGATTGCTAGTCCAGGACACCGCGGGTCAATAGGGGGTGGATGATGGAAAGATTCCAACCAGCAAAAACAAAGAAACGAAAAGGAGTAAGAGAATAATATGGAAAATCGCTCCTGAACCAACACTGGCAAGGTAGAATAAAATTTTACTTTGTTAACCTAAGTTGAAATTGAGTCTTGTAACCCCCTGTTATTTAGACTCTTTCATATTAACAGTAAAGAGACTTTCGCGCCCTCTAGTGAACAGAACAATCTTCAGTGATGGCCAAGTTTCGGAACTGTAAGGACGTAATGAGCATGCGCTCCGATCCCTTTCAATTCTATGTCAACTGTTAGTACTCTAGTTATGTATGTAAATGTGTTTGTTTTGTCTAATAAACGTGTTTTAATAACTAGTGGACTTAGTAAAGAACCCCTTCCCCGTCTTTCCTTTATCATTTTGGTTCCCATGCCGGGAATCGAACCCGGGCCGCCTGGGTGAAAGCCAGGCGCCAAATGATAAAGGACAGACGGGGAAGGGGTTCTTTACTAAG